TCCGTAGCATCATCATTCACTCTGCCTGTGCCGTACTCATTAAACCCTTCTGACTTCTGACCATGAACATCCTTACGACGACCAGTCAAAAGTCTGGACACACTTTTTCATTTACGTTTCTTCTATATTTCCATGATTATTTCCACGCATCAAAACTATGAATGACACGTGTGAAAAAACAAACTCAAAAATAACGCAAAAATTGTGTTGTGCAACAAAACCATTTTAGGAGACTTCATCATGAAGCTCACTGAGAGAAGGACAAGGGTTTACAGCACTGTCCACAAAGCAAAGCTCTAGTCTTGTGTGTGAGTATCTGCTGCTCCTGTTCCTCCTGTACCACTGTCACTTCACTCTACTGCACATGTCTCCTGCAGAAAGAGTCTATGTTCTGGTTGTATCATGTCAGTCGATCAAACCATTACTTCTGCACCACTGAACAATTTAACATTTAAGTGACTTCAGTGACACAGAAACCATCCTGTCGGGATTCAGAAAGGCCCGAATAATTCTAACTGGAAGTGATACTGAGTCTTACTACAGCTATACAGAAGAGGAAGCGGCGCTCTGTTTACCTCCGGAGGTCGCAGAGTTGCTCAGAAGTGACAGCGAGGATGAAGAATTGAATGGATTTAGTGATTTGGAGTGAGATGGAGAGTTTGGTAAACTTGCTCTGTTACTAGAACTTGACTTTCAACAGGAAATGTCGGTTCCTGGTCTCTGAATTTATAAAATAAATTTACCCCAAAAAGTGCAACTCATTTTTTTCTTTTTCTTCATTATGCATTTTTTGGCTGGTGCGTACTCTGGAGCAATTTATAGTCTGAAAAAAGTAGTAGTGACAGTAGTAAACGAGAAAAAAAAAAAAAAAACACTGGATGAGAAGATGAGTCCACACGTTTGACTTCTACTGTATACACAGGGTGTCCCCACGTTTGACTACCCCAAATTTAAGACTTTTTAAAGACCTTTTTAAGACCACTTACATGAAAATTAAGACCAACATCGCACTCATTATGCAGGCGAAAAACACCAGATCCAATTTGAATAATGACCAANGGGAATTAGACATTAATAATAAAATGGTAAATGGTCACATTTTTTCCACCTTCAAGGCACTCAAAGCACTTTACAACAAGGAACCACTCACCCTTTCACACACCAGTGTACACAGACACTGTGGGCAAGGTGGGTTAAGTGTCTTGCCCAAGGACACAACATGTGTCAGTGGGTCAGTGGATCTGACCGCTCAACCTGAGATGTTTATGTCGAGAGCTGGATTTGAACCACCAACCTTCAGATCAGTGGGCGAATGCTCTACCAACTGAGCTACTGCCGCCCAGATGGGCAGATGAAGCTTCATGAAGCATTGAAGCCTTACATCCAATTGGTTCACTCCAGCGAAGCTTCTTGAGCTTCATTTGCTCTAGCAGGACATCTACTGGACACAAAAATATCAGTTGACATGAATTTGAAGTGTGTGGGACATTGCAGAAAGCCTGTGAATAAAACTGTCAGCACAATAAAGAAGTACGCAAAACATGTTTATTGTAGTGATGGCAGTGTACTGTGTATCTATATAGTGGCAGTATGGAAAATGATTATTTGGAAATGATGAAAATGGAAATCGCAGCAAAATCCGAACCACTTCCTGAATCAGTCATGTGTACAGCGGGCAGCGAGGCTTCGACGTCATCATTTTCAGCTCCTCCCCTAAATGAAGCAAGCCTCGATACGCGCATTGCGGAAATACCCCCTTCATTCCTCGGCACATCTCGTAACATCACTATTAATTTAAGCAAAGAGACTTGTAATTCGATATATTGTGATAGTCCACGATATTATTGAGACCTTTGATGATACGATATCACGATATTTTGGTTACTGTCTCCCTAATAATTTATAAAGCATTCATCTTAATTTGCCGGCAAATATTACTTGGTAGCCAAAGAAGACTTTTCTACAAAGAACTTGTAGCCTTTCACTAGTTTTGAGCTGTCTGTAAGTGACATCGAAGATATGATCAAAGTCCTGTCCCCCATGGAAAGTTTGGCAGGTTATAAAGACCGCTGCTAAAGGTTTCTGAATCCATGGTTTTATCATACTTCAGTGGGTAGTTGTCGTCGCATGTTTCCAAATGTCTTCCTGGTTTGTGACCTGAGTGTGACGTATCTCGTATTGACGTATTGTGTCTCAAGCCAGAACCAATCGGTCCAACCTGATTTTTTATTTTTTTTTTTTTTGTGAAAGGAAGGACCACTGGTCACAAATGAAGTTTATTTCACAATCAGCAAATATAATTACAGCAAATATTCAGTTCAGTTCAGAGACATTGTTGTGTAAACATAGTCTAACTGTAGGCACTGCTGTGTCTGAAGCTCTATTACTCAAGTTAGACTTTAATCTGAGTTTTGTTCTAACACAATCTGACCACAAAGAACTAATTTAGCTGGAACTACAACAGGAGAGCTGATCTGTGCTGTTTTTCAGTTAGTCACACTCACCTTTTTGTTGAAAAGTATTATTTATGCAGATAAGTAGTGCAGATAGTAATAATAATGATGATCATTTTAATATAAACACGTTAATGATTAATCGATAATCGATCGTTAATTCTTCCGACGATCGATTAAGAAAATTTCATCGAATGCCCATCCCTAGTATCTACACATAGTTAAACATTTATTTTAGCATATCTCTTTATATTTTGAGCATATTCTGTTCTTGCACACCTATTTCACACTTTTGCTGGTGCATTTATGTTAGAAAAAATTCTTTATTTCAGTTTGACTTTGAAACGTTCACAGTTCAACTTTAAATGTTATAGATAGTATAGTAAATTGCCGTTTTAAATCTTGTCTTGTCTTTTGTAGTCTTTTAAGGACATTTTATATGGTTGGGCACTTATCCATTTGAACCATTGTTACACTGTAAAAACTACGCATGAGTAACATGTAGGCCTATGTAAAGGATGCTTGTAAAAGGCTTAGGCCTACATCTAGCCGAAAGAAAGATAGAGCTTTCTTTGCTATACAGTTCAAGTTGTTTAATAATAATGTGATGTGCCTACGTACGAAACAGAACACAGAAAAGCTACAGCTGACATCAGGGCTGGGCAACTCTGTTTTTCCATGGGGCCACATGAAAAACAGAAAATATTGTGGAAGGTCGAGCCAAAATGCTTTACTCAATTCTGCATAATATGAATTGTATTTCGTTATAAAAAGGAGTAAACCACTAAACCTGTTTAGTCTTAGTTTAGACCTGGTTTAGTTCTGGTTTAGACTTGGCGTAGTTCTAGTTTAGACCTGGTTAGACGTGGCTTAGACCTGGTTTAGTCCTGGTATAGACCTGGTTTAGTCCTGGTATAGACCTGGTTTAGTTCTGGTTTAGACCTGGTTAATTCTGGTTTAGACCTGGTTTAGTTCTTCTGTTATTAGGTTATTCTTTTCGACCAAGAGTTTGTTTTCATACCTGACACTTTCGACTGCTCAGTAGCGGGCTTCTTCAGAGTGGTCACGTGGTCGCGGTCACGCAGCCTCACGGTCACGTCATGTAATAAAAAAAAAAAAAATAACACCTCTAAAATAAAATAATAATAAAAGCAATGCAGCTTTAGTCCGCATGTAAAATGATATAATATGGTTATTTTGTCATTTCAAATGAGCTTTAAGCCCAGGAGCTGTACAATGGCCTGGTCTGGCGTCGGTCGGTGCGTCGGTGCCATAGCGACAACGTCGCGCGCACTATATAAGCGGCTGCGCACTCAGTTGCACTCCCCTTTCTCACATGAGAACGCTTCTTGGACGCACTGCGGACACTTGTACGAGATTTTGATATTCATCGTTTCTTAGCCCCTCACCGGTTGTAAAACACCATCACAACTTGGTATATCTGCCTGTCAACACTTTCTGGAGGATTGAAAACACACCAAAAGGTGACTGGCCTTCGCCATGGACCTGGTGCGCTTCGCTCTGGACCCTGACCGCCAGGATCACGTCCCCGAAGGTAAAATTAATCAAATAACATGGA